ACACACACACACTGTGCAGTTCACACTTGGCGGAGATCTACACATTACCACACACACACACAAACACACACACACTGTGCAGTTCACAACTTTCACTCACGGAGATGCAACCCGGGGAGTCAAATGAAACACCACATGACTTCTGGATGATAGGGACTGTCGTGACACACCACTGCTTGCCTGTCCGACAGCAGAGATCAAATGTTTAATATTATTTTATTTAATAAAAGAACAGCTGACTATACAGTGGACCCTGCATCCAAAAATTCAACCAACCTCAGATAGGAAGTGTTCAGGTAAAAATAAAACAGAACAAAACAAAACACTGTACAATTGTATAGAGACTTTCTTTCTTGTCATTATTCCTTAAACAATACAAAACTGCATAACAACTATCTACATAGCAGATCACCTTAAGGACATTTAAAGTATAGAGATGCGCACAGGTTATATAAAAGTCTTATTTTACATTAAGAACTTGACTATCTTTGTGTTGGTATTTACGAGGTGTCCTGGAACCAACTGCTTTTGATGAGCCAACCACTATCCATGGTCAAGGTTTGTCAGTGTTTCGGGCAAAAATCTGGTTTTCAATAAATGTGCGGAATAATACATCTAATGAACCTCTGCCATGTATCTCTAAATATCACCAATACTGTGTGATTCTCGCTGATCTATTCACCTTTGGCTATGTCATTTCACCAAAAAATTAAAAACTATAAAACATATCTATATTATCACCTAAAAAAATTAATAGTCTTTAATACGATTTAATGTACTTAATATTCCTGAATATCATTTTACAAATACTGTGTCCATAACCAGATCCAAAGCAAACGTCCATCGCAGTTCCCCTCTCCTCGGTCCTCTCAAGGTCTGTAACACCCACCCTCTCCTAACTGCAGGAGTATTTCTTTTCCTTCCACAGCACTTACTTTAACACACTTTTTGGTATAATTTCCCACGTTTAGGATTTGGCTGGGCCAAAATACCTGACACCCAAAATGAAGCAAGGAAAGGTTTAGTTAGCTCACAGCCAGGGAGGACTCAGTCCATACTCAGCTGGCTCCAGGCAGAGCGGCACAGCGCCGAGGGCAGCAGCCAGGGCCGCGGCAAAGAGCAGAGAGCAGAGGCAGCGGCGGCGGCAGCCCAGGCGCTAGCGGGCCTCCCTCCCTCCCTGCTCACACTGCAATGCAGGGTCTGCCCGGGACACTCACGCCCATAACCCACCACTGGACCAAGAATCCATCACAGACTCCAGAAGCGGCCCCACGACTGCGGGAGGCTTTGGGGGGACGACTAGACACAATCCATAACACTGGCTAATATGTTCTTTATAATATCACTAATGTACATATCCTGTTTCCTGTAGCTGGTAATTACATGTGAAGGCTAGATTATTTCAAGCTAAAATAACTTGGCAACAGATTTAATAAGGTTGCGGGTAATTAGAAGGCATCAAACATCACTCCTATGTCATATCATACTTTAGTGATATAAAAATTCATCAGTGGACTTGAGTCAGTATGATCCACTCAAAATGAGAATCTTAATCTTTCATAATGATTTTAACAGTAACTGATGAAGTTAGCGTAATCCAGTTATTCTAGAACTTTGTAAAATAAAAACCTGTTCTGCATTTCTTCTGCATTTAATAGTTTTCTGTTAAAAAAAAAATTAACTTCCAATGATTATTTGGTGACTCTTAGTTAAAAACAAGTCACAGTTAAATCAACATAAACATTTGATCTTGTGGCTTCATTCTCTAATTTTCATAATAATTAACTGGTGTTCAAGCAACCGCCCAAATTGATAAAAGTTGCTGTATGATTTTTTAGAAATCTTCTTTGGGGGACATCATTGCAAACTGATCTTCTAAAACACAATCGATGCAGCTCAGGGCACTGCAGTGCCCTTCGCTCAGCCGCACTGCGGACACAGGCCTCCTCGGGGCGCTCCGGGCCCCTTCACGGTGCAATTTCAGCAACTGCTGATAATTTCTTTGCTTTCTAATGTGAAGCACCGTGTAAGACCTCAGATCACCTATCTCCTAGGAGTCGGGTCTTTTCAGTGGAAATGGCATTTTTAAGACACCACGTGGACACCAGTGCCATTCACACTACTGGCTTGTCACTGCTGCCCACCTTTTCAAAGTACGCAGCTAGGAAAAGGCTTCTTCTCTTTGTTTTACGAAAAAAAAAAAAAAAAAAAAACTGATTCATGTGCTCATACTGATTTTTCCTATGTCGAGCCAAGTATCAGCAAGCTTTTATTTACCTTCTCAGATCTCATTTGTCTCTCTCCTTATAAATGCTGTTTTAATAATACACTAACCAATTGCTCTATCCTGTTTTCTATACATTTCAACTAAATGGTATCAGCATCCTTGCTAAAATATAACTTATTAAATCCAGGCAAGATCTGTTAGTGGTTATTTTTCAAAGCTATAGCCCATTGTGATGTTCCAAATACTGAGATTTAAAATTACTTGAGGGGGTCACTTTGGTGGCTGTAGTGGTACAGTGCCTGCTTAGCATGCGCAAGACCCTAGGTTCAATCCCCAGCAAAACCCACACAATAAATCAGTGAGGGCACCACCTACACATACAGCTATGATCATTTGTATGAGGGTGCATTTTATTTTTTCAAAAGATAGTTTGTATTTTTAAGATTAAAGTTTTAAAACGGTTATATGGTTCCAAATTCAGAACTATGGAAACCAGGTATAATGGGAAAGAACCAACACTTATCTCTATCCCTTCTCCTCTCTTTATTCTTTCCCATCTGTAGGTAATTAGTCTTATTTGTTTTTATTTCATCTCCTTTTTTTTTTAAAAGAAAATATTAACAAATATGTGAGGAGGATAGTATTTGGAGTAAGTGTATGGGAGGAGTATTTGCATATGAGAAAAACCTCAATTTGGATATCACAGATTCCGCTGGGATACAACAGATCCCCCTGGGATACTACAGATTCCACTGGGATACTATAGATTCCCTAGGATACTACAGATTCCCCTGGGATACTACAGATTCCCTGGGATACTACAGATCCCGCTGGGAAACTAGATTCCCCTGGGATATTACAGATCCCGCTGGGATACTACAGATCCTGCT